CTGTCACTTCAAACTGTTTCTCTCGATTCCTAAAAGGATCTTCGTAGTTTTGGATGGAAGAGGATAGTTTAGAAAAATCTTTAAAAGTTAAAGTCATAAAGGAAGAAGAAAAATGATTCTTACACAACTAAAAAAAAAAAACTACAAAATAATTGTAAATACCTTCAAAATTTTCATAATTTCTCTACACCAAAGACGGGGTAATGAGGATTTTTATTAGATTAAATTCTACAAAATTCGAGAATCGATCAATGATGTCACAGCTGAATGAGAGCGTATCAAAATTACGTCACAGTTTCGTTTCTTCGACGTCACACTACTTATATCGACATCAGTTACCGGGGCAACAGAACGAACCGAAAATTGACACGTGACTCAATCAGTGCTACAGGAAATGGCGGTAATTCGGCATGTCAGTCGACAAATTGCTCGTCGTCTGCAGCTATTACTCATTAAGCTGGGTAACACACCTGATTCTACAGAATTTCATTTGGAGGTCAATAAAATCCTTAATTACGAATCGTCCCTATAAAAGCCGAAGCGCTTGGTCAAACATCACTTTTTCCCGAAATTGGATTTTCAAAAATTTCGATCCAATCGGAAATTACACATCGGAATAAAATATGCAATTTCTATCTCTGAATATTTAGAAATGAATGGTTTTTAAATGTTCAGAAATTAAGGGATAATAGAAAATTTTACAGAACTGTCACAATCAACTAGTAGGTCGTGAACCCCTCGTGTGTTAAATTCAAATACATTCTACGAGAAAATTATAGAAAGTTGAGAAATTAAAGAAGCGCAACAAAAAGAAATTAAAGAGGGGTATAAAAAGCGTGCTTCTAAATGTAGACCCTGTTATAAAACTATATTTTCCAAAATAATGTTTATTTGGGAACTACACGATGAACAAGTGTCAGTGTGCACCTACTGTTTATTACAGAAGTATAATGTAGGTGCACTTTATAATTATCTTGTAAAAACTTTGATCTCTATTCTAGATTATGTAGAAATTCGGGATCTAAAATAGGGACTAAAAATCAAACCTAAAAAATTTGCCTTGCACCTTTATTACGAGTGCAAACGATACAATGAACAATGATTTTTGATCACACACGTAAGAAATTAGAATCTTAATTAGTCCTTACTTTGGATCCTGCAGAAAATTAGAATCGAAACTAGAGGCTAAAAACGGCTATAAATCAGTTTAATTAGAAACTAAATACCAGTAGTTCCCATTTGAAAGAGATTAGAGAAACACTAGCGTAGGATATAGGCAAATCGATCGATCACACAATGAAGAAATATCAGATTTAAGCAATGTTTTGATCCGATTTAAATATTAGAAATTAATTGGAGAAAGTGGCTCCCTACCCTCACTTATCGATAAAAAGTGAAAGAAAAAAGTTCTCCATCAAAAAAATAATTTATTTTTGCGACAGGACGAAATCCAATTACTTCTTGGCATTCTTGATTATTAAGACATTTTTAATTAAAAAAAAAAGCGCAGATTCGATGATTGATTGGCAAGGCTCATTTAGAGGGAGGCCCTCTGACACTTTCGAATACTTGTCACGGACCAATGGGAATGGCGGTTATAAAAGTGACTCTCGAGTAGATTTAGCTATAGATGAATGAGTGAGGCGGATTGACAAATAAATTTCTTTCTTATTGTTAGTTCCCTTTTAAATTTCAATCGTTTCATCTCGGTCCTCTTCTGTCATTTCCCTTCATTGACGACGAGTAACCAGTTGGAAGTGGCAACGACTCCAATTTCTCCACATAATCAACTTATCTCTCGCCACCTCTTATCGGAAGAAGACTCTCTCGACTGTTGGATTCTGCGGAATTCGTAGCTATAGAAGTTATAAGATGGTAGTTAAAACACTTCACTGGAGGGTTCTCGGCTCAACTTGTTCTCTTCTATGGTTGGTTATCGAAAAACCCTCTAACTCGACTACAATTCACTTTGCTTCACACATTCATTAATTTCCTGTAGTTCTGGCTAGAGCAGCTGTCCCACTTCAACAAATGTCTTCGTCTAAAAACACTTCTAATGTTTCATTCGATATTAAAAAAAAATTAAATTATGAAAATTTCCAACATGATAACAACAAATCGGGATTAGTTCCAATTCGTTTTGTGTAGATCATCCTACATCTAATAGAACTATTCTATCATCCTTCGTGCTTTATGAAAGATTGATTATTCTATTAAACTTCGTGAAGTAGAAGATGATTCTATCATCTTTCGTGAAGTAAAACGGTTATTCTATCGTTCCTCGTCAAGCACGAGAGATATCCTATAATCCTTCATGAAATACCAAAGATTATTTTATCATTCCTTGTAAAGCACGAGAACTATTCTAGCATACTTCGTAAAACAGAAAGACTGTTCTACTATCGTTTTTGAAGTAAAATGGCAAGACTATCATTCCTCGTGAAGCAAGAAGTTATTCTATCCTTCTTCACTTCTACCATATTTCATTCGATATTAAAAAAGCCCTCGCGCATATCTCGAGAGAGATAAAAATCACCCAGGATTAGTTCCAACTGAGTTTTGAGTGAAGCCAACTTTTTTTTAAATGGCGACGTACTCGAGTTGATAATCTATCTTTAAAAATGCAAAATTCCTTATTCTTCTAAACAAATTCAGTAAGGATCTCACGTCTGAGAAGGAACGTTTATTTCCTGAACGAGATAAATGGTGAGTATTGGGATCTATCTAATTTCCTGTCCTTCGGGAGAGTCGAAGGTCATTGAATACCTTAAGAGGGAGCTTATCGTCTGGACAGCCTCATTGTCACGACTATTAATGAAACTGTACGATTATCTGAGTTTGTTCATCTGAAGAAATAAAACTTCGTTATTAATCGTTTGACCTTCGGACATAAGTTGCTAGTGTAGTGGGACGAAGTGGGTGTGGACGTAGGTGATAATGTAGAAACGGCCTCGTCTGTACTAGGTATAACCTTAGTTAAGATAAAGAAATTATTTTCTATCGTCTAGAACTGTCGAAGCCGAAGTAACAAGTAATTCATAGTGACCTTGTCCTCCCTATATCCTATTTAGAAGACTAGTTTTAATCGAATTTCTTTTTTTTAATACCCTACTTTCTTCGTCGACTTGAATTTAAATTGTTTGACAATTTGATACCACCAAAACATGTCTTTTCCTAATGCACCTTTATTTCTATAACCTTAAAAAATTGTAAACGATTTTGCATTTTCGTGAGAAATCCGTCAGATTTCTAAGAATACCACAAACTGTAGGTTAAACGATTATCAATACTATATCATTCTTCTATTTTGTTCCCTCCCAAAGGAATTATTTGAGCTTTTTTCTGGTGTTCTACTGTCGAAAATATCTCATTTTTTAAATACTTTTTCTGCATAACCATTCAACAGACACAAGCCACGAAGGCGTTCGACCGACAATGGAAACGATACGCTCTAATTACTGACTCCATCAAAGAAGTCGAGACGAAGACCACTCCCAGAATTCAGAACGGAGTGCTCCTTATCTAATGGAACTTACTTAATTAATCACGTAATGGTGGCTTTATGGGCACCAATCTCGTCCTAGAAAGCTCACATAGACTATATCTTTCCTTGACATACTAGCTCTTGGTGAAATATATATATATATATATATATAACATATATGTGTGTGATGTTATTCAATGTACTATATTACTACTTTTATTAGGCCCTATATCCTCCTTTCTGCTTCACGAAGAATGATAAAATAACCCTTCGTGCTCGACAAAAGATGAGAAAAATAATTCTTTGTATTTCACGAAGAATAATAGAATAACTTTTGCGCTTCACGAAGAACGATAGAATAGGCTTTTGTGCTTAGCAGAGGATGATAAGATAATTCTTCTGCTTTAGGAAGGATGATAGTTAGGGTAGAATAAGACAGAAGAGACACATCCTTCTTTCACGAGGATGATATAATAACTCTCGTGCTTCGTGAGAAATGATAAAATAACCCTTCTACTTCATGAAGGATAATAGATAGCCCTTCTATTTCAAGGAGGATAATGTATAGCCCTTCACTTCACGAAGAATAATAAGATACCTCTCTTGCTTTGCGAGGAATGATAAAATAGTCTTTCTGCTTCACAAAGGTTGATAAGATAGCTCTAATACTGCACGAAGGAGGATGGAAGCCCTTCACGCTTTACGAAAATGATCGAACAAGCCATTAGGATTTCCCTTCTTCATAATGATTTTATTGTTTTATTCAAGAGATCCACACGGAGAAATAACGATTTAAAACGTATTATTCGCTCGTTACTTATTGTCTGGATTAAAATCTGTAACGACGTGAATCAGTTTGTTTTCGACTGGGTAGCTACAAAGTCACTCACGCTACGACACGTTTCGGGTAAGCAAAAGATTTTTTTAACTTGATCGAATCACCTAGTGCATAAAAATCAGAACAAATATTGCATTAACCATATAAATATTGGAGACGAAGAATATCGTTCCACCTTTCGCCTATCGTCTCGCTGGCTGAGTCGACGTCACGTAAAGGGTTCGCGTATCGAAACGCCAAGTCACGCCACGTTTCGTGACCGAGGCGCTTTTCTAATATAGAAAGCGATCGGCGACAACAGACAGACTCACAGTTTACTTCGGGTCATTTTCTAATAACAGATAATTATCTTCTCTTCTAAGTCGTAGGAGCTTAGTTAAGGAAGGGAGTAATCACGTATCGAACGTTTGAGATAATTGCTTTCGCGTTCTATTTTTATTTACGACCTGAACTTTGTAGTGTGACAAACCGGAAATAGCCCTACTTCTTACCAAAGCCGACATACCGGAAGTTGTAATAGATGTAAAATAAATAATTAACCAATGAGGAAAATCGGAGGAGGTGGTGGCCAATAAACGACCCGCTGCCGGATAAACAGTTGTAATTCGACGGTGCTACATGCGTGACGTCATAAAAAAGCGCGAGATGGATGCCGCTCGACATTCGCTCGACTGCCGCCGGAGGCGCTGTCGGCGTCCAGATAGCAGTGTTGCTGCAGTAACGACCGGAGCCAGATCCACTCTTTAACTTTCAAAATGGAGTCGACGTCGAAGAGCGGCACGTGAACAAGGAGCGATGAAGTTTCCGAGGTCGGGTGCTCGGTGATGCTCCATCACAAAAGGCAACCGTACAGGAGTGGGTCGGCTGGCAGGACCTTGCTCCTCACCGTCTGTCTGTGTCTTTTGCTGTGTTACGTCGTGGTCGATCTACAGATGACGTGCTATCGTAACGCTAGCCGTAACGAAGAAGGTTCAAATGGCCACTACAAGCCTTCGAACCTGGAAATTTCGGCTCCTACGCGGCAAGCTTTCGAAGTACGTCGCAAATTATCGTCTCATCGGCGTAGTCGACAGACTCAGGACGATTACGACGACAAAATTGCCCTAGCGGTTAAAAAAGGCGCGGGGTTGCAACGTCGCCAGCCCGGAGCGATCATCATCGGCGTGAAGAAAGGTGGGACGAGAGCCCTCCTCGAATACCTCAGGCTACACCCGGACGTTAAGGCTCCCGGTCCGGAACCGCATTTCTTCGACAGGTACTACTACAAAGGCTTGGAATGGTATAGGTGAGTTGTTTCAGTTAACTCCTCCTCACAACTGAAGCGTGTAACTTACCACGTGGATCAGTCGAAGGGTTCACAAGCCCTTCTGACAGATCCACGTGGTAGTTTTCATTCTCGTAACGCCACGTTCTATCGATTATTAAAAAGAATCAATGCTATTGGACCAAAATCGATTGAATCAACGACAGAACCTTGCCCATTTAAAAAAAAGGATGAACGTGTAAGGATTACAAATGCACCTCCCTTATCGACCAGGTGTCGTTCTACACGCGGCAATTAGAGATCTGTGCAGCTGGATGCGGTTCCTCTTCGTTTACCTCCCTTTATCTGGATTTGTGGTCATGGGACGAGTTGTCCTCGTCCCGAATTAAGGCTCCAAAAGCGGAACTAATCGCGACGTTCCGAGGCTAATTCTCTATCGATTGATAACAATGAGCGAATTCTCTCCTCAGTATTCTTCCCTTTCATCGAATGCAAAAAATGGGTCCTGTAACAGGTAGGAGGGTGCGAAAAATTCGGCAGAGGTGAGAAAAGAGGCATCCATGCGGAAGAATTACCTCCATTTTATTGTTCAAATTTACACAAAAAAAGGCTTATCATAATAGAAACAGGCTAGACAAGTAGAAAATGAATTTAGATTTAACTTTGAAAACTTAGATAAGCTTTAATGGTTAAGGTAATTAGACGCTATTTTAGGATGCTCTGGTGTATATTAGAGTAATTAAAAGGTTAAGGATCACTTTAGAGAAACTAATTTAACATTTAATCCTTAAGCCAGTAACTCCTGTGATTGTATATATTGTTGAATAATGGTAGATAATGTATTAAGGATTATCCTGCAAGTCCCTAAACTACTATTACTTCTATAATAGTATTGTTCTGTAAGCTACTGAACTCCTATTGTAGTATTTTGTTATTGCTCCTATAATTTGAAGAATAGTAGAATAAAAGAGTAAAAGGTAGATTAAAGGTTTCAACAACCCTTAATCTACACTACTCAGCATACCAGTTTTAAGTAATAGTATAACTCTTAATTCGCCAGTACATTAATTACTGTCAAGTTAAGAATTATCCTAGAAAAATAATGAATTGGGATTATTATTAAACCCAGTTCTTCGTAAATGCAAAAGCAACTGTATTTAATATTATTTTAAAGAAAAAAATGGATTTTAAGGATGCTATTATTAGAGTGTCATTTTGGATTTTTTGTATATACTGATTTATGTGAAAATAATTAAAACGAGCACTTATAATAACAGCAAAATTCAAATTTATGCTTTTATTTAAATTATTTTAAGTGTTAATTAATGAGAAACTAAAAAAAAAAATAAAAAAACTTAGGCAGAATATACAGGCTATTCGCGTTGAAGTATAGATAATCGCATTGATTTACGTTACATGCAAGATTATAGGATGTTCTATATCCTTTGGATCGGTTTATATAACAAATCTTAAATAGATTAAATGCATTTAAAAAATTTTTTCTTTGAAATTTGCAAAATCGAGCATAAATAGGCTATTTAATTACGAAGAGAATTACACAAATCTTTCTACTTGGAATATAACCTTCATGTCAAGTAAAGTGTGAATAATCAAATTTAATATTTTCTGTTAAATAATGTAAAATATTTTATGTTTTTTTATATTCTGGAGAATAATTTAAGATTATATTTACTTCTATTTATTCAATATTTTGAAGTGTTATTACGATAAAGATGTATACATTATATGGAATACTTTCTATAAACTCTATGCATTAACTGATTCAATCGTGTGAGAATCGATATTTTTCTTCGTTTCGACGAGATGTGGAAGCGATATTTTTCTTATATTCGATAGTTATCCATTTTTCCTCCGGACAAAAGCTGAGGATTGGTATTGCTTAGGTGCTCAATTGAACAGACAAATATTACATAGGATACTGCAAAGTTTTGTCATACAAAAATTGGAATTCTGTGAGGCACATTTTATAAAAATTGGAGTTTCTCGTTTACAGAAACCGTGAGTTTACTTTCAATTTTTAAATTTATCGACAATTCACCCGTAGAATGGAATAGAATTAATTTAAGTAACTCATATTCCATTTGTGGCACGGGGATTAGTAGAGTATGGAATATGTCTTGTGACCCTATTTATATATCGATTTATTATAGAAATTTTGAGTTTTTTTTCTTCACAGAAAAACCCAGAATTTATTTTAATTTCTTTTCCGTTTATATGTAACTCACCTGTAGAATCTAGAATGTACTAGAACTAAATTTAAGTTACTCGTCTTCTAACTCCATTTGTGGCATGAGGATTAGTATGGTGTAGAATGTGTTTTATGTTCCTTTTTGTAGACGAATTTATTTATCAAAACAAGAAGATAGAATTCCGAGAATGGTCTGGATGACATAAAAAAAGTTTTTACAATTTGTTTATACTTGAACGAATTTCTTTTAAAGCAGAACAGAAAGATCAAAAATAGGACTCCAGATTAACGTCGAGTTTCATACATTTTAATGAAGTTATATCGACTATAACTTCAATTTTAATTCAAAGAAATGTTTAAATTAATTCCTAGAATTTCATAAAAAGTAAAAAAGCTGATTTTTTAGTGAATTATTGCGTAACGATATACATTACACATGTCTATAGATTCTATAGATATAAGTTTATATTACAGATAATACAAAGGTTGCTATGGATTAATAGGCAAATAAAATTATCTTTTTTGATAATTTATAGAAAAAATAATTATTATTTTAAATTAAAAAGCAGCATTTATAACGTCTATTAGTTGTTTAATCGCTACTAAAAGTTATTTTTGTTTTTCTTTTTTGGCATTTTTGAAACCAAAAATATTTTTATTGATAAAAACATTACATAAACCTTTCATTTTATAAAGATATAGGCCTATGTAAGTTATATGGAGAGGCTCAAAAGTCAATTAACCGCGTTTTATTTTAAGTTATCCAAGCACCGGTGAATATGAATCATAAACTCAGTTTAGGAGACAAGACATCCATCAATTTAGTCCTTGAAATAGTTAACTGACTTTTGGGTCGCCCTGTGTATATCGTAACATTTCCTAGTCCCAGACGGAATAATGGCTTCGTAGTAAACATTCCAATGAATGAGAATATATAAATTACTTTTTTCTTTACTACGGATATTTATATTAAAAAAATTTAAAAAGTTCTTTGTTGTCGGAATGTCTAGAGAAAGAAATTCGATCTGAATTCGTGCCAACACTTCGATAAGAGTGTTCAATTTAGAGGCCATACATGAAAAGTAACATCTGTCCAGTCATAAATATGATATATTCATCACTTTTAATTAATTTTTATTACTGATACTTTATTTTTCTTAAAATATTACATCTTTAGTGTCTTAAAAAAATGATTTATATGGCTCAATTTAGTGATTCTTTTTTACTAATTCCTTCCCATTTTGTATCATCTATATCGAGTGTTTTAATGCTTCTTTATGGAAAAATAGATTAGTAATTCGAATAGTTTTTGAATAATTTAAAGCAAAATGTTTATTTTTAAACTAAATTTAATGTACTTTTAACCTGTCTACGCACTAAAGTATGCAAATTTGTTTAGTTTACGGCAAAGTCTCCTTCGATTTTGTGTTATGTACAATGATTCTAGGTTACACGATCGTGTTACATCTGTCTGACTATTAAAATTCTCATAAAACTGTACGAGCTACGAGTAAAACTGCCATTACGAGCTCTACTAGAGATTAATTTAGAATTTCGCTTGTAATTTGGCACCAAAAAATGGTTTCTAGTTGGTCTAAATCGATCGATTATCGGCGAGTTCTCGTGGATTGTTTCTTATTATTGACCTCAATCTTTGATTATGAGAGGAAGTCATACACACATGAAATCCCCTTCAAGTCCACTGTCAAAAGGTAGAACAGGTAAATGACCTCTAACAAAGCTGATCGAATTGAAAGAATTGTTGTACAGGGGCACGCTATAACAATTTTGCATGATTTTCTACCATTATTAGTTCTTCATCATCAATTAAAGGTGCACCTGATCGCCCTAAATAGGTCATAAATATGTTGCTTTTTTATAGCGCTGCATTACTGTATAAATTCTTAAATTGAATTATATTATCTGTTCGTGTCGTCTAGACAGACAACTGATTATTTTATACGCTTTTCTGTGAGCGTAATGCACTGCTGAAGCATATGTCACACTCGCAGATATTCTCAGTAATATGAAAATTAGTCATAAAATTTGCATAATAGCAAGAGAGAAATATCATTAATACTGTGTGTTTGTCTGTACTCTACTTCAATCAGTACTAATTGCAATTAGAAGAAAGGAGAGGCTTTTTCTTATTGACCATTTCCCTTCTTTCCTGGGCAATAATTCTTTCCATTAACACCATTCTGCTTTATCTTTTGCAATACTTTACTTATTCAATTCTTCTGCAGAACTTTTAATTACTTTATGGAGTAGGTCTTCTAACCAGTAGATCGCGACCTCACAAACCATATTTCTGATTAGTGTAATGTCAAAAGATTGAGAAGAACTACTCGAATAATTATTTCTATTATCGAATTGGCAAATTATAATGTAGCAAAAACAACTTTCGGATTTAAAACACTATAAAAACAAAGAGAATGTTTTAGATTTTTCAATCTAGAATTCAAGTTGTGCGTACTAGAAGGTGAATTACAGATAGGAAATCCTTTAAAAATCCTTTAATTTCATGCACGTTATACGATAATAATGAACTCAGTTCCAGCTAAGTTTTCTATGCGGCATACACTGACTAGTTTAGCAGACTGAAAATAGTTAAGGCTACAAATATACACTAAAACTATGCTTCAAAAATGAGTATAATACTACTGGAACTAATATTTACTAGACTCATTTTTTTTGTATAGATTATGTTATTTTTATACAAACTATGCTTAATTTTATAGAAATCATACTTCTCTTTGTGTAAACTGTGCTCCTTTTTAAACACATGATCAGTTGTATGAATAAATTGTCA